GGAGCTGGCCGTGAGGCCCCTGGGGTGCAAAATTGCTGGGGAGTCTCGTGACCCCTGAAGACCAAAGTTTCCAAAGACGTCCTTCCCGAAGTGTAAATGAATCCAGAATTCGCTATTATACTACGCAGAGAGCAGTGGAGCTAAGTAGCAGACCCAAAAGCCACTGTCTCTGCCCTCTCACCTCCTACTCCACGCACTCCATAAGCAAAATGAAGAGGGAAACGATCAGAGGGGGAATGAGAATATATGGGTGTATAAGATAGAGAAAGGTTTACCTCTTCATCCAAATCAATGAGCATGATTATTTATGTTTCATAGGTTAAGAAAAATTATTAAAGGGCATAGACCAATGGATAAAGAAAAAAAATTGAAAACACGACGAAAATTTCAAATAATAAGTGAATGCATGCAATTTAAAGCAATAATCAAGTACTTTTTTTCTTTCTAGGAAATTAGCAAAGTTTTGTTTTGCTTTTGCTTGGGTAACCAAACCACGTGGTGGTTGGTGAGATGTCAGTAAAACACAGCTTATCCAAGGATTTTTCTCCACTACTTTTTGCTCGCTTTCATCTATGTTGCTATTAGTAATTCCAGGAACAAATATTTATTGAGTAATCGGTGTCTCTTCTGAGTCCCAGAATAACCACAGAAGTAATGAATGACAAAATGTCCCTTTTATTGATACTAGAACTAAGGGTCAAAAAATCATATTCCTACATCTCATAAAGGGCCAGAAACTACTGGATTCTCAGGCCTTAGCTCTTTGTATTCATTTTAGGAATTTGTTCAAATGTTGGAAATTCAGTCTGAACTGGATCTAGTCATATATATAAATATATATATATATATATATATATATGTGTGTGTGTGTGTGTGTGTGTGTGTGTGTGTGAGAGAGAGAGAGAGAGAGAGAGAGAGAGAGAGAGAGAGAGAGAGAGAGAGAGAAATATGGCTAGGGAAGTGAGAGAAGGCTCTCAATTTTGACATCAGATGTACTCTGGGTTTAGATCTGACCTCTTATTTAATGTTCCATATTTAAAAATTTTAAGGATTATATTCAGGATTATTATAAACTTAAAAACTCAAAAGCAACAAAGACATGCTATGTGATGGATTCTGGGGTGGCCCCTATGATCCTCTGCACTGATCTTTCATTTGGATCCCCTCCTTTTGAATGAGTTGGGACCTGTGACCTGTTTCTAAAAAATAAATATAGTAAAGGCAAAGAATGTCACTCCTGTGACTACAGTTCATTGTAAGACTCCCTCTTGCTGGCAAGCTCCTCTAGAGACTGTCCTGTCCAGTTGATGAAGCTGCCATGCTGGGGACCTAAGAGTGGTAAAAAAGTGTGAGTGGCTTCTAGGAGCTGAAAAGCAGCTTCCAGCCAACAGCCAGTCAGCTAGAAGTCAGGCTTCTCTTTCCTAGCAACGCACAGAAGTGAATTCTAGCAACAGTCTAAGTGACCTTGGAAGTAGATTTTTCCAAAGTCAAGCATCAAGGTGAGAAACAAAAATAGACTACACCTTATTTGCAGCTTTGAGAAACCTTCAGCAGAGGACCCAGATAATTCATGTTTAGGCTCCTGATTCATCCCCAAATTGTGAAAGTGTACATAAATTACAATGTGTTTATTGGTAAGTGTGTTAAATATTGCTGCCTTGTTATGTGTTAAGATTTTTCTCTTTCTTACCCCTTCACATGTATTTTCCTGCTCTGATCAGACAGAGTCTTCACAGGACAAAAACTCTGATGGAATGGTGCACCCCCAAAAGTCTAGGATTCCCAGGGACTTCCAGTTGTGTTTTTGCTTCAAAGATTGTGTGTCCAAAATCAATAGTCTTCCTCCTTCAGGTCCTTCAGGTCCTTCAGGTTCTTCTCTTGACTCCAACTACTGTGGCTGGACAGCTGTCTGGCTTCTCCTGTCTAGAAGCTGTTTTCAGCTCCTAGAGGCCACCCACACTTTCTTACCATACCTAGGTCCTAGCACTTCAAACAGGATCCATGAAGTAGGCCACCATGACAGTGAACTCTGCTTACATAAAAAGTTGTTCAGCAATGTGTGGAATGTTTATGGTAAAGAACTAGGAGCAGGCAAAGTACTTAAATCAAATCTCACTTAATCCGCTTGGTAAAGCTTTAACTTGAGCCTTCCAAAGTCTCCCCTTTTCCTGCCCCTTGACATCAACTTGCTCCTCCTTCAGTCTCAACCCCTTGCTAATTGTCCCTGTTTCCAGATCCTATCTAGTCTGGCTTGCTCTCCCTTGCTTCCTTCCTTTGATGCTTCTTTGATTTTTTTCTGTAATCCTTTTAATAATTTTCTCTAGCTCTTTTCTCTATATCCTTCATTTTCTTTTTTTATTATTGTGTATTTTTACTATACAAATAACATGTGTATATAGTATTATATACTAATATATATTGTATGGCATCAAACTGTATTTGTTAATTATCTTTTTGGACAATAACATAGCTTGGTACTCATTTCTCTCCTAACATATAAATCATTCTTTTAAATGATTTCATGATATTATTCTATTATTATTATTATTATTATTATATTTGTATGTCACAATATATCCTTTCCCTTAACTATTTAGATTGTTTCTGGAATTTTGAAATAACAAACCAATGCTGTGTGCATGACTTCTTATATACTTATGTGATTTCCCTAAGGCATGTATCCAGAAGTAGAGCTCTGAGTTATATCCATTTTCATTTTACTACTACCAACAAACTGTTCTCTAAAGTGGCTATGGCAATTTACAGGACTGCCAGCTGCATAGTAGCATTGCATTCACAAAATAACTGCTAGAACTGAATGGAATAGTAGATCCACATAGAATATCATTGGAATAAAGTGTGGCTGATTCACAAACTCTTAACAGTTCTGAGATTGGACAGCTAGTTCCATCATTGTGCTTATGACTAAGTGGGGTGGGCCATTGTTGAATTTTCAGATTACTAGAGCCTGGAGGCTGATCAGTTTTAATTTTCATTAGTTCTCTTTAGGTCTTAATATTAACCATGCTTCTAAGACTATAATTATGATGATAAGATGATTCAGATGTATAGTATCATTTCTTTTTTTCTTTTTAAGGAAAGGGTAAAGAAATTTATCTGGATCTTTAAAGGTGCCAGATTGAACTGGACCTGGAGGAAGTGTCAAGCATCTCCTCTCTGGGTTTGCTTTTATTCCATGAAATGAAGTGAAGTAAGCTCTTAGCAGTATTTGGCACATAAGCTATTTCACAACTAATTGTCATTAGTACCCACATATATCTGAGTTTTGTAAGGGAAAATATGTGTAGCAAATATATGATCTTTGATATTGAAAGTGATATTTATCTCATTTTTACATCTTTTTCCTTTTTATATGAATTATATTGTGTGTTATTAGGAAAAAAAAGCAATTAAAAAGGCAAAGAACTCTTTAGAGCCAAAAGCACAAGAAAAGATTTTGAGCCAAGTGCTATGGTGCAAGTGTTTAATCCCAATGGCTTGGGAGGCTGAGGCTGGAGGATCACAAGTTCAAAGCTAGCCTCAGCTTCTTAGCAAGGCCCTAAGCAAATTAGCAACACCCTGTCTCAAAATAGAAAAAATAAATTAAAAGGGGTTGGGTCGTGGCTCAGTGGTTAAGACCCCTGGGTTCAATCCCTGTACACCCTTCATCCCTCAAAAAGAATCTTGACTTTATTGTGGACCAGGTGATAATTATCCCCTTTTACAGACCTATTTAAATAGCAGAGAAGGGTTGCTCATAGGGCCACTGGAAGATGGCACAGCCACAAGCAACACTGGACAACCTTTCCTCTAATCGAACCAACCCACCAATTGGGAGTGACTAAGTACCTCTGTGTACCTCCTCCAGGCATAGACATTTTCCCCATAATTGTTGTCATCCCCCCCTCCTCTCTTTCAGTGATGTCTTTGGAGTCTGAGAAACTGACATGAAAAGCATTTTCCTTTGGGGCTTCCTGGTCATCGGAAGTGTCCATTAAATAGACATTTTCCTGTGAGTTGTATCTCTAGGTCTCATTTACTCATCAGTAAATGTGAGGAAAAGAGTCCTGTCTCTTCTCCTTTAGAAAGGCATTCCAGGAGTCAGCTGATGGTGTCCAATCTCTCTCACTTTGCTACGTTTATTAGCAATGCCTGGGAGTGGATTCCTAGAATCATAATACAGAAAGGCACATATCAGGAGGCCATTCACCCAGCCAACCCCATTTTCCAGAAGGGCTGCAACCGAGCAGCAATAAGCCAGGGCTGATTTTCCTTCATTTTCCTGCATGAGTTATTTATGGCCCTAAAACCCAGCAGAGTCAGTAATGCCCTTTCTGTCCCTCTCTAAATCTTTCCACTCTTCAACTGAATCCCTCTTGGGACTTTTTTCAAACTGGTTCCTTAATCTTCTCTGGATTGTCTCCAATGTCTTTGTATTCAATAAACTCAGAATTCTCTCTAATACTAAGCAGTCTTGAGCAGAATATAAGACAATTTGTGTCCCTCAACGCCATCTAAGAGTGACTCCAGGGAAAGGGAACATGTAGTACAGGGAAACAAGAGGCTTTCATGTGCAAGAGAATTGAGATCAAAATTATGCTTTGTAGTTCGGCTGCTGGTGACCACTGGCAAGTCATTGGCTTTGCCTGGTCTCGGTCCTTCCCAGATGAAATGAACAATAACACTTCTTTAAGTCATTATAATGAGAAAATAAGATGGCATATATAAAGTCCTTGGTTTATGTTGTATAGATTTTTCACACAAAAATTCCTTATATACAAGGCAATTGCTTCATAAAGTATTCAGTGGAAGAAATATTAATTTTCAAAGCTGAGAAAAAATGTCAACTCTGG